TAATGCAGACTTAAGTCTAGTCATAGACTACAATCTAATCTATAGTTCAGACTATAGTTTTGTCAACAATCCAGACTATACTCAATACTGTATCTTGAGTATCGTCTAATAATTAACCCTGTATCTAATACTCAAATTTAATCTGTTTATATTCAAGACAATAGCCTAATCTATAGCAAGGACAATAGCCTAGTCTATAGCCCGGACTATAGAATAATTTATTGTGGGTATTTATTTATAGTCCAGACTTTAGAACTATAACTATAAAATAGTCTATATAACAGACTGCAGAACTGTCAATAGTCCTGACTATAGTCTATTCTCCAGACTATAGAATAGTATATACATTGTGCAGGCTATAGCGTAGTCTATTGACAAGGCCATTCTCTTGTCTATAGTTCCATAGTGTAGTGCATAGTGTAATAATCTGGATTATAGTATAGTATATTGACTAGGATATTCCCTTGTCTACAGTTCCATAGAGTAGTCTAAGGTATATTCTAGCATGTATGTAGTTTTTAGTTTATAGTTTAGTATATAGTCTAGACTACATGTTAGTTCTTAGTATAGTGTATTGTCTAGTTTATAGATTGTTCTATAGTCTCGCTTATAGTCTAGTATATAGTCAAGTCTATATTCTAGTGTATAGTCTAGACTAGTTTAGTCTATAGTTTAGTCTTTATTTCACATCTAAAACACAATAATTACATTTGGCTCACATACACTTCCTACTTTAAATAAATTTAATAATTTAAAAACAAGAACATATTAATGATTTACTAATATATACCGCCTCTTACACTCCCACTCAACAACACTCTCTTTCGTGTTTGGTTGCCTACGAATGGCCCAGGACACGACTGCCTTCTAACAATTGTCTTAACAAATTTGGCAAATTTCTAACACTTTTTTCACTAATTTCTAAAACTTTTATCATAAATATTTCTATATACCGATATAAATTAACATTTCTTTAATCTAATACAACAAAAATATTTTATTATTAATAATTAATTAACGTTTTAGCTTAATTTAAACAGTAACCCTAAACAACCGAAAACTTAATGAAATGGAATAATAACAAAAAAACCTCCATCACTTATTGCAGTTGTTGTTATTGTTATTAGATATTTGCTCTTAAAATGGAGTACTAATAATAACAACAACAATGACATTTTGTATTACCACTTGTTCCTTTAGTTATTTGTCTTCTTCTTCTTTAGTTGCTAAAAATTTCTAAAGTGTTCGGGTGTTTAGTGTTAATAGTCCTGTTTAAATTAATTTAAAGCGTTAATTAATTGTTAATATTTAAATATTTTAGTTGAAAATTGTTAATAAATACCGTTATGAAAAAGTGTTTATACAAAAAGTGTTAAATAGTTAGTTTAAACATGTGTTTTAAAATTTGCCAAAAATTCAATGCAATTTTGTTAAGCCGAGCGTCGGTCGATGTTTTTTTGTCGTGCAATTCGTTTCGTTAAGTGATGAAAAAGCTTTAATCAAATAGGGTAGTAGAAGATCTTGGAAAGAAAAATATTGTTAAAAAAAAGTTTGATTGAAAAAGTTGTGAAAAAATAATGAAAAAAAAGTTAAAGGAAAGGAGTTGGAGGTTATGTTTGTAACTGCATATGTATGTGTTGCAAAATGGAAATATTGTAAATACGGAAGAATATCGTTATTTGAACAATAAAAGAAAAAGGTGAGTACAAATGGTTTTTGTTTCTTTATTAAATTTACTTTTTTCTTACAAAATTTCGCAATAAAAAGTCTACGTCAAAGACTCTATGGGCTTCGTTAAGAGCAATCTATAATCTAAATTATAGAACAGTCCATATTCGTCACTTATAGAGCGGTCTAAAATCGTGACTATAGAGCAGTCAATACTTAGTCTTGACTAGAAAAGTCTATAGTCTTGACTATATAAAAGACTTAACTAAAGAACTAGACTATATAATCTATAGTCTAGTCTATATTCTAGTCTGAAGTCTAGACTATAATCTCCTATATAGTCTAGTCTATAGTATAGACTATAGTCTATAATTTAGTTTATATTCTAGTCTATAGGCTAGTTTATATGCTAGTCTATAGTTCAGTATATATTCTGGTCTATAGTTTGGCATACAGTCGATTAACTTAGTACTTTAAAACCTAAAAAGGACTATTTTTGTTATAAGTTAGTACTATTTCAAAGTCGGGTCTACTGTCCCCCTCAGTTATCTAGTCTATAGTCTTGTTTAAAAAGCAAAAGTTTGTGATGAAATTAGGCATCATTTTGGGTTTATTCTTAAAGCAAATTCCCGATAGTTGAATAACACTAACAACACAACCAAAGTAAATTAATAAAGTAGCGACACGAGTTGTTGTACAACAAACGTCTACAAAAACCACAGGCAATTTGTTTTTGTTCGAAATACTCACTTGTCAAAATTTGTTTACAAAAATGAACCAATAATTAATGGAAAATATGGCATTATTGTTGTACTTTCCAAAAATATGTTGTTATTTATATTAAAAGTCACAGAGTTTTCTTTATTTTTTAAAAATTAGAACATTTTTAAAAATATTATACACTTAAAATACACTTTTTCACATTAAATACAACAAATTACTCAGAAATTTATACAAAAGCAAGCGTTAAAATGAAAACAAATATGGCAACATAAACATTTTTGACAAGTAAGTCCACAAATAGCAAGTTTAAAAAAAATAGTCAGCTGTTCAAATGAGTCTACTTTATAAATTTACTTTGAACACAACCCATCAACTTATTTTTATAAACAACCTGTTTGAATAACAACAACAAAAAAGCAAAAAAACGTGTTAACAACTAATGAAAATAATAACAAAAAAGCCCAAAAGAAAATAAGCACGAAACAAAAACAATTTGCATGCAAATAATAAACTTCTAAGAGAGCAAAGGCAAAAAGACAGACGAGAGAGTGTAGTACAAAATTGACAGTCGAATTTAATTAACAACAAAAATGGTTATGTTGTTATTGTAAACAGGTAGGTAGATGAGTAAAAATTGTGTTTTTTTGTTATTCACAGATTTAAACCGAGAATAAAATAGAAAGTTGAATGAACTTTGAAATTTTTGTTAAAAAGAAATGTAAATTTAGTTATAAGACAACACAAGTGTAATGCAATAGATTATGGAATAAGTGAATTATTTGTATCAAGGTCAGTACACAAAATAAATAAAATACACTATACTGGCGGGTTTAAAAATAAATTAAAGCAAACAAACAACCACAAAAACTGCAATTTTTGCCACAACTTTTTTTTTTGCAAAAAAACACTTTTTTATTAATACACTTTGTGTATTATAAAAGATATATTTATGTGTTATGATGTTTTATAGATATGTATGTTTGTACGTACTAAGAAAAATTCCCTAGAAATAGGTATTAACTAAATTTAAAACGGAATAAAATTCCCGATAAAATACCTAGTAATGTTTAACATTATACATAAATTAATCATCATCTTTAGCATTAAAGAAAAACCATGAAACTCCTCTTTGTTTAATGAAAAAAATAAAACAAAATTTTTTAAATTAATTGAAATTCTTTAAAAACTCACTTTATTCTTTACTATTTAAAATTAATAAATAGTTTAGTATTTAATATTAAGTTTAATTAAAGTTTAGAAGTATAATTTCCATATAAATGTTAAATTTTATCACTTAATTTCTTTTTTGTTGCACTTTTCTTTTATGTTGCAGTTTGCCTGCCACCACTTTGTTGTTGCTTTTCCTTTGTTTATGCCACTTGAAAATTGTTATTATAAATTGCACTTTAGTTTGCTTATTTATTAATAATTTATTTAAAATTTAGTTTTAATTTAAACTAATTTATTGTTTTTTATAATTTATATATAATTTTAATTTAAAACAATCAACTAATTCGCGGATCTTTTTCCTCTCTTTTAACAAATATTATCAACAACAGTGTTAAGAAAAAAAAGACAAAGCAAAATGGCCATCAGACTTCTAGGTCGTTAAAGTTGTTTAACGCCGTTTCTATATTTAGTGACTGGCAACAGTCTTTATATTAAATGTTCACCGGCGTAGTAATAGTAAGCAAAAATTAAAAATACTAATTGGAATTAAAAAAATTATCACATTTTTTTTTGAAATTTTTATAAAATACAAATAGTTTTTGCCAAAAAATTAGTAAATAAATACGACGTTTACTTTTCATAGTTGACGTCGTCTATGAGTTATTCCACTATGAGCAATTAAGTGATTTTTGTTTTGTGTTTTATGTGGCAACATTTGTTTAAACATAGACGGCATTACCGTGTGTAAAAGTTGATAAATAATAATAAACTGTTAAAAAATATAGAATTGACTATAGAGTAGACTTTGACTAGATTATATATTAGAATATAGACAAGGCTATAGTCTAGACTATAGACTAAACTATAAACTAGACTATAGAATAGACTATAGACTAGACTATAGACTAGACTATAGACTAGACTACAGACTAGACTATAGACTAGACTATAGACTAAACTATAAACTATTCCATAGACTATAGACTAGAATAGATTATAGATTAGAGACTAGACTGTAGACTAGGCTATATACTAGATTGTTGGCTAGACTGTAGACGATACTAAAAACTAGACTTTAGACTGGATTATAGACTAGACGATAAACTGGACTATAGACTAGTCTTAAGACTAGGCTCTAGTCCAGGCTATTGACAAGACTACCACATAAAACAAAGTGGTAGTTATTAGAACTTAAATTAAGTTTTTTTCATTGTGCACTGCATTATCATTTTAATAAAAAAAATGTTTCACTAATATTAAAAAAAATTACAATTGAAACGGCTGACGACAAACTACTTTTAAAAGAAGAAAATCCCAACAAAAGTAATTTTTTATATTTTTATAAAATAACTAAAATATTACAATTTAAAACTTAACTCAAACTTTAAATACAAAATATGTAAAAATTCCAAAAAAATAAAACGACGTTCTTATTCAACTTATATTTTAATAAAATTATTAAATAGATTTATTATTGGTTATAAAAACTCAAAATAAAAATTCAAAAAAAAAAAAAGGATAACAATTATACATTATTAAGTCCAGTATAAAGAGTATTACAAAAACAATAAAAGACATTTTGTAATAAAATCGTGCATGTGGATTTTTCTTTCATTAAGAAAAAATATAAAAGTGACGGTACACTGCTGTACTATTAAATTTGTTTCCCCATTCTACTCCTTTTCTAATCGTTCAGATCATGACTCATATAAATGGGATTAGGCGAATCACAATCTTCGAATACCATTTCCTCGTCACCGGCATGCCAACGGACGGTGCGTACACTACTCGCTTTGAATCTAAGATAAGGCGCAACGAAAAAGGAAAAATAACATTATATATGATTAGAGAGAAGTTCATGGTAAAGGTCGTTTTGAGAGGGTTTTAATTTTTTTTTAGAATTTTTTATTTTAAACAAACTTATGTAAGTATTTTGAAATAAAATTAAAAACGTTGATAGAACCTGTTTGAGGGTGGAGGTGGTGGCGGTGGGGCCGAACGTGGTGGTGTACGACGAGCCCTAAAAGACAAGATTTTTTTTTTAAGAGTTTAAAAAAATTTCTCTAATATAATTCTCACTTACGCTTGCACGGCCTGTGAAGTACTTCTAGAAGTACCATAACTATTATCATCATCATCCAATTCAAAATCTTCAGTATTCTGTCGTTGCCTGTTTAGAAAAGAAGATTTGTACAAAATTTTTAAATTGTCTGCTTCAAAACTTACAATCCCCTATTGCGACCGTCACGATTCTCAACAATATTTCTTACTGCACGACTGGTCAGTGAAACACGACTTTTTAGACGTGTAGGTGTCCGAGGTTTTGGTTGGGCTGGCTGAGCATCTGGTCGCACTGGCAGTACTGGAGTTACCGAACGTTTGGTACGTTGTGCTTCACCCCGACGAGGTTCACTACGTCCACGACTAGTTTGCGCAGGCGATTGCCAGGTTTCATCATCATCTAAGGCAAACTCTTCGGTGCCTTGCCGACGTCTGGGGAAAGAGAAAACATAAGATTTTAATTACTTATATTATATTAGATTATAATCTAGTTTACAGTCTAGTCCTACATAGACTATTTTATAGCGTGTACTATATTGTGGACTAAATTGTAGTCTATAGTCTAGACTACAGTCTAGCAATTTATTATAAGTATTAGACTATAGCCTATGATCTATAGTCTATTTAATATATAGTCTGGACTGTAATTTTGTCTATAATGTAGACTATAGTCTAGTCTATAGTCTTGTCTATAGTCTAGTCTATAGTCTAGTCTATAGTCTTGTCTATAGTCTAGTCTATAGTCTTGTCTATAGTCTAGTCTATAGTCTAGTCTATAGTCTAGTCTATAGTCTAGTCTATAGTCTAGTCTATAGTCTAGTCTATAGTCTAGTCTATAGTCTAGTCTATAGTCTAGTCTATAGTCTAGTCTATAGTCTAGTCTATAGTCTAGTCTATAGTCTAGTCTATAGTCTAGTCTATAGTCTAGTCTATAGTCTAGTCTATAGTCTAGTCTATAGTCTAGTCTATAGTCTAGTCTATAGTCTAGTCTATAGTCTAGTCTATAGTCTAGTCTATAGTCTAGTCTATAGTCTAGTCTATAGTCTAGTCTATAGTCTAGTCTATAGTCTAGTCTATAGTCTAGTCTATAGTCTAGTCTATAGTCTAGTCTATAGTCTAGTCTATAGTCTAGTCTATAGTCTAGTCTATAGTCTAGTCTATAGTCTAGTCTATAGTCTAGTCTATAGTCTAGTCTATAGTCTAGTCTATAGTCTAGTCTATAGTCTAGTCTATAGTCTAGTCTATAGTCTAGTCTACAGTCTAGTCTAGTCTAGTCTAAGTCTAGTCTAGTCTAGTCTATAGTCTAGTCTATAGTCTAGTCTATAGTCTAGTCTATAGTCTAGTCTATAGTCTAGTCTATAGTCTAGTCTATAGTCTAGTCTTCAGTCTAGTCTATAGTCTAGTCTATAGTCTAGTCTATAGTCTAGTCTATAGTCTAGTCTATAGTCTAGTCTATAGTCTAGTCTATAGTCTAGTCTATAGTCTAGTCTATAGTCTAGTCTATAGTCTAGTCTATAGTCTAGTCTTCAGTCTAGTCTATAGTCTAGTCTATAGTCTAGTCTATAGTCTAGTCTATAATCTAGTCTATAGTCTAGTCTATAGTCTAGTCTATAGTCTAGTCTATAGTCTAGTCTATAGTCTAGTCTATGGTCTAGTCTATAGTCTAGTCTATAGTCTAGTCTATAGTCTAGTCTATAGTCTAGTCTATAGTCTAGTCTATAGTCTAGTCTATAGTCTAGTCTATAGTCTAGTCTATAGTCTAGTCTATAGTCTAGTCTATAGTCTAGTCTATAGTCTAGTCTATAGTCTAGTCTATAGTCTAGTCTATAGTCTAGTCTATAGTCTAGTCTATAGTCTAGTCTATAGTCTAGTCTATAGTCTAGTCTAGTCTAGTCTATAGTCTAGTCTATAGTCTAGTCTATAGTCTAGTCTATAGTCTAGTCTATAGTCTAGTCTATAGTCTAGTCTATAGTCTAGTCTATAGTCTAGTCTATAGTCTAGTCTATAGTCTAGTCTATAGTCTAGTCTATAGTCTAGTCTATAGTCTAGTCTATAGTCTAGTCTATAGTCTAGTCTATAGTCTAGTCTATAGTCTAGTCTATAGTCTAGTCTATAGTCTAGTCTATAGTCTAGTCTATAGTCTAGTCTATAGTCTAGTCTATAGTCTAGTCTATAGTCTAGTCTATAGTCTAGTCTATAGTCTAGTCTATAGTCTAGTCTATAGTCTAGTCTATAGTCTAGTCTATAGTCTAGTCTATAGTCTAGTCTATAGTCTAGTCTATAGTCTAGTCTGTAGTCTAGTCTATAGTCTAGTCTATAGTCTAGTCTATAGTCTAGTCTATAGTCTAGTCTATAGTCTAGTCTATAGTCTAGTCTATAGTCTAGTCTATAGTTTAGTCTAGTCTATAGTCTAGTCTATAGTCTAGTCTATAGTCTAGTCTATAGTCTAGTCTATAGTCTAGTCTATAGTCTAGTCATAGTCTAGTCTATAGTCTAGTCTATAGTCTAGTCTATAGTCTAGTCTATAGTCTAGTCTATAGTCTAGTCTATAGTCTAGTCTATAGTCTAGTCTATAGTCTAGTCTATAGTCTAGTCTATAGTCTAGTCTATAGTCTAGTCTATAGTCTAGTCTATAGTCTAGTCTATAGTCTAGTCTATAGTCTAGTCTATAGTCTAGTCTATAGTCTAGTCTATAGTCTAGTCGATAGTCTAGTCTATAGTCTAGTCTATAGTCTAGTCTAGTAGTCTAGTCTATAGTCTAGTCTATGCCAGTCTTAGTCCTGTCTATAGTCTATCTATAGTCTAGTCTATAGGTCTAGTCTATAGTCTAGTCTATAGTCTAGTCTAGTAGTCTAGTCTATAGTCTAGTCTAATAGTCCTAGTCTATAGTCTAGTCTATAGTCTTAGTCTATAGTCTAGTCTATAGTCTTAGTCTATAGTCTAGTCTATAGTCTAGGTCTATGTCTAGTCTATAGTCCTAGTCTATAGTCTAGTCTATAGTCTAGTCTATAGTCTAGTCTATAGTCTAGTCTATAAGTTCTAGTCTATAGTCTCTAGTCTATAGTCTAGTCTATAGTCTAGGTCTACTAGTCCTAGTTATAGTCTAGTCTGTAGTCTAGTCTATAGTCTAGTCTATAGTCTAGTCTATAGTCTATTCCTATAGTCTAGTCTATAGTCTAGTCATAAGTCTAGTCGATAGTCTAGTCCTATAGTCTAGTCTATAGTCTAGCTATAGTCTAGTCTATAGTCTAGTCTATAGTCTAGTCTATAGTCCTAGTCTATAGGTCTAGTCATAGTCTAGTCTAGTCTATAGTCTAGTCTATAGTCTAGTCTATAGTCTAGTCTATAGTCTAGTCTATAGTCTAGTCTATAGTCTAGTCTATAGTCTAGTCTATAGTCTAGTCTATAGTCTAGTCTATAGTCTAGTCTATAGTCTAGTCTATAGTCTAGTCTATAGTCTAGTCTATAGTCCTAGTCTAATAGTCTAGTCTATAGTCTAGTCTATAGTCTAGTCTATAGTCTAGTCTATAGTCTAGTCTATAGTCTATAGTCTAAGTCTAGAGTCTAGTCTATAGTCTAGTCTATAGTCTAGTCTATAGTCTAGTCTATAGTCTAGTCTATAGTCTAGTCTATCTAGTCTATAGTCTAATAGTCTAGTCTATAGTCTAGTCTATAGTCTTAGTCTATAGTCTAGTCTATAGTCTAGTCTATAGTCTAGTCTATAGTCTAGTCTATAGTCTAGTCTATAGTCTAGTCTATAGTCTAGTCTATAGTCTAGTCTATAGTCTAGTCTATAGTCTAGTCTATAGTCTAGTCTAGTCTAGTCTAGTTAGTCTATAGTCTAGTCTATAGTCTAGTCTATAGTCTAGTCTATGGTCTAATCTATGGTCTAATCTATAGTCTAGTCTATAGTCTAGTCTATCGTCTAGTCTATGTTCTAGACTATAGTCTAGTCTATAGTCTAGTCTATATTCTAGACTATATTATAGACTATAGTCTAGTCTATAGTTTATGGTCTAAAGTCTAGACTATCGTTTAGTTTATAGTCTTGACTACAATCTATTCTATAATCCAAGTTATAGTCTGATTTGTAGTCTGGACTATGGTCTGGTTCCATTCTCTTCTAAAAATTATGAACTTACAAGGGTGGTGGCTGTTGAAATCTTGACCGCTGTGGCTGAGACTGCTGCGGTCTCGACTGTCTTTGCGGGGCACTGCTACCACTTCTAACACGTGATTGACTTTCTTCTCTTTCATAGGAAGTACCCCGGCTAGGACCCGAGTCCAAACTTTCTTCTTCGGTACCTTGACGACGGCTTAATTAAGATAATTTAATAAATTTTAATATTTTGAAAGATAATATTTTAAAATGATTTACATTTGTCCACCTCTACGCCCTCCTAAATTATCCTGTGATACTTCACGACTTCTGCTCTGTCTTTCACGTTCCCTTTCTCTAGATCGTTCGCGTTCACGCTCTCGTTCACGGGAACGCTCTCGCTCACGTTCTCGTTCCCTTTCGCGACCCATTTGAGCGCGTTGTGAGGGTGCATCGTTTAAATTTTCTATATCTAAGGTCTCCTCGGTGGCAGTTCGTTGTCTGGAAGTGTGAAAGGTGAAATTTTAACTTAAAAAAGAAACTAAAAAAATCACTTACAAAGTTGGTCTGGGTCTACCCGTACTACTTGTACTACGTTCTCTATCACGCGAAGTACTACGGCCACGATCTCTTCTTCGTCCACGACTAAATGAATCACCTCTCTCGGTGGCTCTTTCGGCAGCACGTAGCTTAGCTTTGCGTAAACCATTTATTTTCCTATGCAACGAAATAAGATTTAAACCCACCGGTGTAGCTATGGACCACAAAAGTAGTGTAAGAAAGTGAAAAACCATAAAGCATTAACGAAATCTATCATATTTCGACAAAGAAATATGCGATTTGCATCGAATATATCAAAAAAGGGACGACATCTGGCCGTAGTTTCACCCAGTTGAGAAGACATGGTGGCCTTATCATTGCTTAAATAGGTTTTCAGTCTAAAATAATAAAATAAATTGAATTATATTTTCCATGGTTAAAAACAATATCAGGATTTTGGTGTGTTAAAAGAACCTTTCTGTATAAATACGTGTTGATTTTGACATATCTCTCCAGCCATCTTTTCCAAATACTCCTGTATATTGCGTAAATGATTTAAGGTCTGATTAACCTGTTTAGCCCAGGGATCTCGCTGCAATTCCAAGGCGGTCAAATGATAGAGTATTTCATTTTGTAACTGTTCGAGAGGTTGTAGTATTGAGGCCTGCAAACGTTTGGAACGACTACCTAGTGTAGTCATACGTGATGAGGTTGCCACGTCTTGTATCTAAAGAGGAGGCGTAAGAAGAGGGAGAGGTGTTAATAGTCGAAATTAGATAGATAATATTACTATAACAAGGGTCACTGAAGACCCTCGTGAGACTATAGATTCAACTATGGACTGGTCTGTAGGTAGTACTATAGTCTGGAAATTAGACTGGACTAAAGACTGCACTATATAGTGGACAAGATTTTAGACTGGAGTATAGCCTGGACTATAGACTGTACTACTGTCTGAACTATTGACTGGATAATACAAATAAAAAAAAACTGGACAATAGTCTAGTCTATAGTTGAACTATAGAGTGGACGATAGACTGGGCGACAGACTGGACGACAGACCGGACGACAGACTGGACTGTATACTATAGACTGGACTATATACTGGACTGGACTATAGTTTGAACTATAGACTCGACAATAGACTGTACTCTAGATTGGACTAAAACTGGATTATAGTCTAGTCTATAGTTTGAACTATTGACTGGACTATATTATAGTATATAGACTGGACTTTAGTCTAGTATATAGTTAGTCTGAACTATAGTTTAGTCTATTTTAAAGTTTGAATATATTCTAGAGTATATTTCGGACTATAATCTGGTTTATAGTATAGACTGGACTGTATACTATAGACTGGACTATATACTGGACTATAGTTTGAACTATAGACTGGACTATAGACTCGACAATAGAATGTACTACAGATTGGACTAAAAACTGGATTATAGTCTAGTCTATAGGCCGAACTATTGACTGGACTATATTATAGTATATAGACTGGACTATAGTCTAGTATATAGGTAGTCTGAACTATAGTTTAGTCTATTTTAAAGTTTGAATATATTCTAGAGTATATTTAGGACTATAATCTGGTTTATAGTATGGACTATTATCTGAACTATAGGTCAGTCTATACTCTGGAGTGTAATCTGTACTAAAGTCTAGTTTATAGTCTGGACTATAGTCAAGTCTATGTATTATATTCTACTCTATAGTATTGTCTATGGTCTAGACTATAGTCTGAATTATTATCTGCTCTATACCCGGGACTGTAGTCTTGACTATTGTCTAGTCTATAAGCTGTTTGAAACCATATTGGAGATTATATAGGAAAACAGACTTTGGATTTTTTTTCTTATATCTATGTAGGTTTCATATTCAAGTGTACTTTGCATAACAACATGATATCATACATACATATACACAAACATACACCTGAGAATTTAAATGATATGTCTGTCTATGAATCTCCTGTCAACGTGTGTCAATTTAAGCTACAAGGTTATTCCATTCCTGAAAATTTACCTTTCTTCGACTAAATTTTTTTCGTTAACAAGAATTACTATTCCAATTACACATACATATACATGTACTATGTGTGTAACTTTAACGACATACAATCTCAACATCTGCCTTATCTTGTTATTGTGAAAATTTAAAGGTTGTGCGACGTTCGATGACTACAATTGAAAACATATTCTCTATGTTTGTTCTACTTAAACTGGACAAGGTTTTTTTTTTAAACAGTAGTTATAGGAATAGTTTTTAACTTGTTAGAAACTTCAATAAATTAGTTCGTTACATGTGTGTTTTTAAGTTAAACTGACAATAAAATTGTCAAATTTACTAGAGCCAATTACCAGAGTAAAATTTCAATGTTTAGGTGGTTATGATGAAAGTAAAAAACAATGAAGAAAATCGCAACAAATAAGGTAAACTACATAAAATTGAATGTTTTTATGTTCTTGGAAGGCAAGATGTTGTTGTACAATGTGAAGTTTTTGTAAAGAGATAGGATGACAATTAAAAGTGAGAGAGGAAAAAGATGGTAAAAAATTAGTAGTCACTGAAAATAAGTGGAAGAGTGTTCTTAAGTGCCATAAGTCAATATAAGCCAAAGACAATAGAATCCCATACTCTGGCTGCTTTTAAGTGCATCAATATTTTACATAATTTTACAGAATTTTTAGGATTTTTAAAAGACTTTTTACTAATCTATAGTCCAGACTATAGGCCACATTATGGACTGACTGTAGTCAAGACTATAAACTAGCCTATAATCTATACTATAGACTAGACAATAATCAAGGCTATAGCCTAGACTATTGTTCAAAATATAAACTATACCATAGATCAGAATATAGACAATATTAGACTATAGACTAGACTATAGATTAGAATATAGACTAGACTATAGACTAGACTATAGACTAGACTATAGACTAGACTATAGACTAGACTATAGATTAGAATATAGACTAGACTATAGACTAGACTATAGACTAGCCTATAGACTAGACTATAGACTAGACTATAGACTAGACTATGGACTACACTATAGACTAGACTATAGACTAGACTATAGACTAGACTATAGACTAGACTATAGACTAGACTATAGACTAGACTATAGACTAGACTATAGACTAGACTATAGACTAGACTATAGACTAGACTAGACTATAGACTAGACTATAGACTAGACTATAGACTAGACTATAGACTAGACTATAGACTAGACTATAGACTAGACTATAGACTAGACTATAGACTAGACTATAGACTAGACTATAGACTAGACTAGACTATAGACTAGACTAGACTATAAACTAGACTATAGACTAGCCTATAGACTAGACTATAGACTAGACTATAGACTAGACTATAGACTAGACTATAGACTAGACTACACTATAGACTAGACTATAGACTAGACTATAGACTAGACTATAGACTAGACTACACTATAGACTAGACTATAGACTAGACTATAGACTAGACTATAGACTAGACTAGATATAGACTAGACTAGACTATAGACTAGACTATAGACTAGACTATAGACTAGACTATAGACTAGACTATAGACTAGATATAGACTAGACTATAGACTAGACTATAGACTAGACTATAGACTAGACTAGACTATAGACTAGACTATAGACTAGACTATAGACTAGACTATAAACTAGACTATAGACTAGCCTATAGACTAGACTATAGACTAGACTATAGACTAGACTATAGACTAGACTATAGACTAGACTATAGACTAGACTATGACTAGACTATAAACTAGACTATAGACTAGACTATAGACTAGACTATAGACTAGACTATAGACTAGACTATAGACTAGACTATAGACTAGACTATAGACTAGACTATAGACTAGACTATAGACTAGACTATAGACTAGACTATAGACTAGACTATAGACTAGACTATAGACTAGACTATAGACTAGACTAGACTATAGACTAGACTATAGCTAGACTATAGACTAGACTATAGACTAGACTATAGACTAGACTATAGACTAGACTATAGACTAGATATAGACTAGACTATAGACTAGACTATAGACTAGACTATAGACTAGACTATAGACTAGACTATAGACTAGACTATAGACTAGACTATAGACTAGACTATAGACTAGACTATAGACTAGACTATAGACTAGACTAGACTATAGACTAGACTATAGACTAGACTATAGACTAGACTAGACTATAGACTAGACTATAGACTAGACTATAGACTAGACTATAGACTAGACTATAGACTAGACTATAGACTAGACTATAGACTAGACTAGACTATAGACTAGACTATAGACTAGACTATAGACTAGACTATAGACTAGACTAGACTATAGACTAGACTAGACTATAGACTAGACTATAGACTAGACTATAGACTAGACTATAGACTAGACTATAGACTAGACTATAGACTAGACTATAGACTAGACTATAGACTAGACTATAGACTAGACTATAGACTAGACTATAGACTAGACTATAGACTAGACTATAGACTAGACTATAGACTAGACTAGACTATAGACTAGACTATAGACTAGACTATAGACTAGGCTATAGACTAGACTATAGACTAGACTATAGACTAGACTATAGACTAGACTATAGACTAGACTATAGACTAGACTATAGACTAGACTATAGACTAGACTATAGACTAGACTATAGACTAGACTATAGACTAGACTATAGACTAGACTATAGACTAGACTATAGACTAGACTATAGACTGACTACTATAGACTAGACTATAGACTAGATCTAGACTAGACTATAGACAGACTATAGACTAGACTATAGACTAGACTATAGACTAGACTATAGACTAACTAGGACCAGACTATAGACTAGACTATAGACTAGACTATAGACTAGACTATTAGACTAGACTATAGACTAGGACTATAGACTAGACTATAGACTAGACTATAGACTAGACTATAGACTAGACTATAGACTAGACTATAGAGACTATAGACTAGACTATAGACTAGACTATAGACTAGACTATAGACTAGACTATAGACTAGACTATAGACTAGACTATAGACTAGACTATAGACTAGACTATAGACTAGACTATAGACTAGACTATAGACTAGACTATAGACTAGACTATAGACTAGACTATAGACTAGACTATAGAAGTATAGACTAGACTATAGACTAGACTATAGACTAGACTATAGACTAGACTATAGACTAGACTATAGACTAGACTATAGACTAGACTATGACTAGACTATAGACTAGACTATAGACTAGACTAAAGACTAGACTATAGACTAGACTATAGACTAGATTATAGACTAGACTATAGACTAGACTATAGACTAGACTATAGACTAGACTATAGACTAGACTATAGACTAGACTATAGACTAGACTATAGACTAGACTATAGACTAGACTATAGACTAGACTATAGACTAGACTATAGACTAGACTATAGACTAGACTATAGACTAGACTATAGACTAGACTATAGACTAGACTATAGACTAGACTATAGACTAGACTATAGACTAGACTATAGACTAAACTATGGACAGACTATAGACTAGACTATAGACTAGACTATAGACTAGACTATAGACTAGACTATAGACTAGACTATAGACTAGACTATAGACTAGACTATAGACTAGACTATAGACTAGACTATAGACTAGACTATAGACTAGACTATAGACTAGACTATAGACTAGACTATAGACTAGACTATAGACTAGGACTATAGACTAGACTATAGACTAGACTATAGACTAGACTATAGACTAGACTATAGACTAGACTATAGACTAGACTATAGACTAGACTATAGACTAGACTAAGACTAGACTTAGAATAGACTATAGAGAGACTATAGACTAGACTATAGACTAGACTATAGACTAGACTATAGACTAGACTATAGACTAGACTATAGACTAGACTATAGACTAGACTAGAGACTAGACTATAGACTAGACTATAGACTAGACTATAGACTAGACTATAGACTAGACTAGAGACTAGACTATAGACTAGACTATAGACTAGACTATAGACTAGACTATAGACTAGACTATAGACTAGACTATAGACTAGACTATAGACTAGACTATAGACTAGACCATAGACTAGACTATAGACTAGACTATAGACTATATATTCTTCTGATTATTTTTTTGATAAATACCATATCGCAGTATATTACCATATGGTCGGTTTTGACCGAGTTTCTTATATTGGTTATTTATTACACATTTGTTTTTTTTGTTAAATCAAAATTCTTACCTGCAATGCGACTCTTTGCATTTGATCAATAAAAGTAGCCAATCTTTTTCGGGTGTGGGTGCTCCTATTGTCGTACGATATGTGGTTAAATTAAACGATGACATTTGGAACATATTCTCCAATATGGTTTGTATTGTTTGTGTCAACGACAACAGTGTACGTTCCGATACATCGATGGCATCAATGGCCTGAGTGACTTTTGGGAATTGTTTTATATCGGAAATAGCTGTTGTATTAACGAATGCATCCAATTGAAAGACATTGTACGATGCTTCATTTTTTTCACATCCTCTAAAGATTTTTTGTTTTATTTTTGGCGATGACAGTAACAAGAAGGGTGAAGACGATGATGATGATTTTGAGTTGTTGTAACAGAATGTATGATATTGTATATGTGTAGAGAAGAATTTAAATTGTTGGTCATTCGTTACAAAAGATTTTTTTTTTTTTTTTTTTCAGTTTTTTTTGAGTTCAAAAGTTCAGACGTTAGCATTCCCGTAATGAAACAAGTTGTTTGTTTTACATACATTATGAGTATGAAGTAGTTGCAGGAAGACACATAGAAGTAACATCGAGAAAGAGTTTTTATGGTGACACATTAGTAAAGTTTGTTATTAAAGGGGGTGGGAAACGGGGGGCATAATGATACCAGGTCATATAAATGTAATACAAGAGCCTTTTGGGAAGTTAAAAGGGGGTTCACTAGACCAAGTAATATGAGTTTAACAAACGTTTTAAGGGTTTGGATAGGTTACCCAACAGTTTTTTTTGAATAAAAGAGGATTTTTCTTTTAAAGATTTAATCTTATCTTGATTTTGTAAGGATTTTTAAATATTATCAATTTTTGTTTTAAGGTTTTAACAATTCTTCCTATTTATTAGCAATCCTTTCAATTTTCCTTTGGGTGGAGGAAGGACCAACACTAACATTTTGTATCATTTTCAATTTAACAGTCACAGTGTGCTTATGTGTGTAACCCGAAAAAAAAAGGAAACACGTACAGTATCGATAACTAATTGGCATGCATAACACTTCCACAACCAAATCACGTTGAGGAAGGTGTACGAAATACTTGGGAGTAAAATAAATCAACAATGTTTTATTGAATTAACGCTTTCCACGAGCAACAAGAGCCAAAAACTACGGACACACAATTTGTAT